CAGCCCATTTTTCCCGAGATCCAGGTTAATTTACGCTGAAGGAAATTGTTTGTGGCAGAACAGGGTGCTGGTCCAAACGAACCGGACAACCCTCAGGCGAGGAGTAACGTAGACGCTGGGGTGGATTTGGGTACCTAAGCGGAGGCTGGAAAGGTTTCCAGGCTGGTGAGGCGCAGCTTTCAGAGACTGGGAGAAATCGCTCTCCTAAGACCTTCAGTCTTCTTCTAAGCAGAGTTTTGAGCGCCTCCTTTGCGCCATCCTGTCACTTCTGGAAAGCTTGAGTTCAAAGCCATACGGGAGGTCAAGGGGAAGCTGGTAGGATCTCTTCCTTCATCCGGGCTTTGGGCAGCGTACACCAGCATTAGGAAGCAAACACTAGTGTTTTTGTTTTTTTTAAAGTTGGGCACTACATATCTGCATCATCTTCACTTTTAAAAAAACCCTTTAATCTTCATTAATTGCCTCAGACACTTATTTCTAAATACTTGGTGAAGCAAAGCTAAAAGGAAATAAAAGAGGAGGGGACAAAAAGGGGATTATTTCATATACTAAACTGTACAGTGACTAAAGTAAAAAACATCAAGTTCCAAGCACAATCCACTCACCCACCTCTCATAAAAAAAAAAGGGGGGGGGGAGGTTAGGACACTTGGTACTGTACAAAACCAAGCACTGAACGTCCAGACATGACTCAGTGCTGATTAACAAGAGCCTCGTGTTAACTTTCTACAGAGTCACCTGGCTTACAGTGACCTCATTGCCTGATAACGCCTAGTTCATTGAAATAATAATAATAGAAAAACACTTTTAGATTGATTTTGCAATGGTAGTGCAATAAGAAGCTAATCAAAACACAGGAGAATTTTATTTTTAATTAAAGATCTAAAATAACTAATACATTAACAAGAGCTTGCAAATTAAAACAGTGGTACAGACATGCCAGAACTCCTTAGTAAACGCCACTGTAAAAATGCAAGACTTGTGCTTTCAGTATTGTCATAACATGTTACAGGATCACATACTCCCTCCCTTGCCCCTCTCTCCCTTCCTGCAAGGACTATTGCGAAACATCTCGATGACATTATTTAATTTGAAACTTCAAACAACTATTCTAAAGCACATACTCATCACAGTCAGGTTCAGCCCAAACACTTTGTGTATCATCCAAATGAAAAAACTTTAAAACGAGACTCAGAAAATTAACTATAAACATTACTGTCTACACCGCAGTTTTCTCTTTTTACAGAGCAGTAGCTGAATGCAAGTATTGGATAAAGAAGACAAAACATATTCATAAATGCATGTCTTCCAACTTTTTTTTTCCCTTATCCTATTTCCAAATTCTTGTCCCTGTTTAAAAAAAAAAAAAAATCTTTAGCAATCCACATGCTGGCTAGACTACACCAATGCAATGTACAGCTTTCCCTAGCGCTAAAATCTCTAACTCAACCATTTCAAAGCACGCTATGCCACAATTTCCTCAGTGTATGATGGGGCTTGGGGGTAGTCTTAGAGAGGCTTATTTAAACCAGAACACATTCAAACTCTAAACATTTTACTTCCTATATGGAAGTCTACCTTGGAAAATCAGAAATACTTGTGTCAAAATACAGATTTGAAAGAGCAAAGTCAGGAAATTAGATGAACATCTATAATCTATGGTTTTCCTTCCACTATGGCTTGCATTGATGTTTAAAAGTATAACAAAGCTCATTTTGATTTTGGCTCTAGAAAGGGTTTAAAAAAAGTGAAATCTGATGATACATGTATGCACGGGGCTGGACAGCTATAGCAATAACCACCTCCCTTTCACGTTTGGAAATATGAAGAGCAAATTCTTCTGCAAACACATTATGGAGCATCAGGTTTCACGTGATCCAAGTCAGCTATGTCTGAAGGACAAACGTGCTGCAAGCAGACCCAGCAGTTGCCCTTGGTTTGGCAGGACTCAAAGGGTTGGGCCCAGGTTGAAGAAATCACGCGTGGACTGTTTCTTCAGCAGAGTTTTGGCATACCTGAGTACCGTTTTGTTTCCATATCTAGCAAAAATGTGATTTATGAGGTTATTTTAGTGGACATTCTGGCAGAGAAAGCAGGCATACTGAAGTATGCATCTGTTATTTCCCCAAAAAGCCAAACAATTTCACTGATCTGGTGAAGAAAACTGGCCCAGGCTGCACTGACAGAAGAGAGGGCAGTGTTTAATTGAGATGGAGGGTGGGGGAGAAGGACAAGGGCAGAAACAACACGCTGGGGGCAAGAGACAGGCAGGATCTCAAACCAGCTTTGCTGCTGAAGGACCTGTAATAGGGAAGAAACCTTAGAAAAGTACTACTACAATCCACTGTACTGAGTTCAAAGATTTCTCTTGCACAGCTCAGAAGAAGCACGCACTCCTAAAGATATTAAAATCATATCCTTTTAATCCACAATCAGAGTTCACGAGTTCTGAGCAAAGACTCAACAAAATCCAGAAGGAAAAACTAGGACATTTTTGCTTTAAGCTTCAGTTGGTAAAAGGGGATTAGAGGAAATCCTTCAGCAAGCAAGTGAACTAATCGCAATGGAAAAACACCCCAGGCTCCCGTCGGCAAGAAGCCGCCATCTAGTGGGTAATGCTTGTGGACACACGGACGCACGCACCAAAATGAAGACAAGCGCATCATTTTCAAGTTGATTTTTGTAAATGGAAAAATGTATAAAATCTATCCATACATTAACAGATACAGGAAGTTACACAATCCAGTTTACACCTAGAGTAATAGCAATCGGTCCATAATAAGAACAGGGAAAAATTTCAATGCTGTAATTTGTCAGACGTCACTATGGGCAGAAAATGAGTGTGTGTGTGTGTGGGGGGGGGTGTTGTGTCTCCCCCCCCCCCCCCAAGTGTGTCTGTGTAAAACCAGTTACCTTCCCTACTACAAAAGCAATGAGACAATTTCAACAGACATGTATTCGGAATGCTTTTGAAAAGCATTTGACTCTAGCATTAACACTGAATATTCCAAGATTTGTTTCATTACAACATAATTTTTGGATGCTCTTGCCTCCAGGAAAGGGCTAGGGACAGTAGCTATTATCCAAGAGAAATCCTGCACCTGTCTTAGAATTTATAGCATTGAAAGTTAAGGATTTTCATTTTATGATTTTCAACCATCCTGGAACACTTAAATTTGTGTATCCTCAGCTCAGACATTTACAAAGCATGCAGAAACTGTTACTACTCAAGGAACATTTAGGAGGCTATGGAAAATGTGCTGGTGGGCCTCGGTCTGAGTTTTAGTGAACTCGTGTCTACCATCAGGAACAAGCCACACCTGGCAGTAGTTTTCCCCTCTGCCTCCATTTACTGGAAACCTCAGAAAACAAGGCTTGAATGAATGAGCATGGAGGTTCAGGTACCATTTTAAGTAAAAACAAAACAAAAACAAAAAAAACCCCAAACCACCAAAAACAGCTACTAGCAGGGCCAGTTTGTGGGCATGCCTGCCCTGCTACAGGTGTACCTGTGGGTGAACAGCGTCAGTCTAGGGCTCAGAAAAGAGGCCTGACTGAATTTTAAAGGAAAAGGTAGGCACCTTGCCCCCAAAAAGACAGACTTCCTGTGTTTTACAGGTGTATTCAATATTCACACACAAAGCAAGACAGTGAGCTGTGCTCATCCACCCAGAAGACTGCAGCATTTTTCTGAACACACAGAATGGACAACCCCTTTTCAAAATAATAGCAATAACAACAACAACAACAACAATAAGAATAATAAAACAGAATTCCAGACTGCTGGGTGGTTCGTGTTTAAAAAAAAGGAGAAGAAAGAATAAAAGCTAACACTGTAAAGACTACTATTCCCCTTCAAAGCAAAGGCCACATAAAACTGTGTTGCTCAGTTTGGTTTTTACTTCATGCCACCTGTAAACACAAGACTGGATATTCAGTTTCTGGAAAGAAATGAAGCCACTTTTACATCCAGAGTAAAAGAAGGGCTCTCCTCTGCCTGGATTACATGTTATCCAGGAAAAGGTAGCTGGCGGGAGGCTTCCTCTTCTCATTTGCTCATTTCATTAGAAAGGTCATATGTGAACAAAAGAGCTTTCAATAAAAGCACAACACATTTCTCGATGTTATTTCTGCCCTCTGTCTCTCAAGTCTGCTATGGGGACTAACACTTTCCATTCCTCATCAACAGATTCATCACTTTTTTGGCACCATGGATGGAATTTCTTCCTAATGTATAATTTTGCCTTATACAAAAGTCGATTGTCTAATCATGCAATTCCAACAGAACTCCAAAAAGTGCCACAAGACAACTTAACTCTTTGCAATCTTCTAGCTAGTTTGTACAACACTGCCACAGGAACCTCCCAGAAAATGGACTGTTAACCTTATTTATATCTGACAGTGTATTTCATATAAACCATTTCAACCTCTCTTTCTTGGGGGGAGAGAATTGAAATCCAAGCCCGGATTCCATTGATTTTCGAGTCTCAGAGCTCTGAAATGCATGGAGATTTCTCTGATTTGTTGAAGAGGTCTTCACTGAACAGCCTGATTAGAGAAAAACTTACTGATTCAATCAAATAGAAAAGGAAAAAAAAAAAAAAAAACAGGTAGTGGTAGATTTCTCGATCTTTGCTCCTGTCCTTGGAGACTAGGGTAGAGTTTTGCTGCTACTGCATTTTCCCCAACTGGATCTTCTTCCAGGCTTCTGAAGCTGTGAAAATGCAGGAGTCCAGGATCCCAGCTACAGTAAATGTTCCTCCAATGATGGCACATATCTGGAATTTACAGAAAGAGGAAACAAGTTTGTCACTGATGAGACAGACTTTTACACAGCTTGAAACCGAGAGGAAAGATAATGCCTACTGCTAGGACGCCTTCTGCAAGCAGAGTAAGAATTGAATAACAGTCCTGGGGAGGTAATTACGTGACAACCGCGTTCCAGAAAACCCTTCTCTGTACAGTGGAACACCTTAGTGCTACCTGGAGCCCATTCCTTCCCATTCCACCTTAGGACACTATCACCAAGCTACCCTCCGAGATGACGCTAGATTCACTCTTCTACACTTGCCAGAGGGAACAGGGCCGTTGCTCCAAGGATGGGAAGGGCTGTGGCAGAGCAAGCCTTCTGCTACTGCACCTGCAAATTTTATTTGCTGTTGGAGAAAGGCAGCCCTTGCTAGCTGCGGCCCAGCTTCAACTGGCAAATAGCGCAGTGTTTTGTTACTCGAGTAACTTTTCCCTCATTTGCGTGTGCACGTGGAGGGGGAGCGGAGAGGAGGTGACGGGCTGGATAGAAGACCACACTGATTGAAGCACTCTGTTTAGGTTATGGTACCAAAAGCTTGTTACCCTCAAAAAAGCTCTGCCGGCACAATGCCAAAGAGCAGAAAAGACTCGTTAAGGTCTCCCGCACAAATACCCTTTCTTTTGGAGCTAACTCCCACCTACTAAAGCCTTCTAAAAGCTCTTTGTTGCTCATGCCTTCCTACTAGTGTTTTCTATTATAAATATCATAGCCTTGTAGTCTTTTCCCCACTTCACAGGATACAGCATTTGCAAACAGGCAAAAGACACTAAAAGAGCATGTTAAGGACAGTGACTAAACGGAGGAGAGAAGCCTAGCTACCAGTAACACCTACAGCTAAGGCTGTCTAACACTTTCCATTACAAAGGCTACGTTCAGCTGCTTACAAAAGCACAACCAACCTTTAACTGTTTGTGGGCTGAAGTTTTCCATGCAAAATGTCTCACGTAGAATTATTTAAACATCAGCAAAAATATGTAATTGTTTTCTAGAACAAAGTTAGGGAAAAATTTAATCTCTTAATTACTTCGGTTCTCAAGTGCTAGAAAACCACAGAAGTATCCTGGTATGTCCAATCAGAGGTACCTTGGCTTGGAGTATCCAAAATCAGGGGGCAACAGTTTGGGACTTTGCATCACGTTGCTTCAAACCCCTTATCTATGACCTGGGGACAATATCTACCTTACCTCCGAGGGAGACCGTTGACGGAAAACGCTCTGAAGCACCCAGCGCTGTGACAAAAGCTGTCTCAGAGGCCCCGTGGAAACGCATCATTCTGTATTCAGCACCGGGTTAATACAAACCACGTGACAGCAACAAGGTGGCAGTCACATACTGTATGATGGGAAGACACAGGGCTCACAGGGTGCTGCCCCATTTTGGGCCCTGAGCAAGGCCAGGCTCACGTGGAAAGTATGATACGCAATCGGGTAACCTAATAACGTTTAGCAGCCAAGTTACAACTACACAGGACCCGGCATTTCCCAACTCCCACATTTTTGACTTCGTTAACTGTGATGCTCTTTTAACGTAGTCTTTTACATGTCATTCACTGTGTAGGATTAGGTGGCTCTGAAAACAAGGGACAACGGGTCAGTGAGGAGGGGACACGACGCAGAGCTCATTGCCTGAGAGGGGCCTGCCCAGGAAAAAGGGGGGTTTTGCTGAGAGCTAGAAGCCACGAGAGGGAGGGGAACTCAAAACCAGTAAGCCAACGTAGCAGGGGACCAGGGCCCTGCAACGCAGCTGACGTAGAAGGGGACCAGTGCCACGCTAGATCTACTGCGCCCCATCCCTTCTCCCAGCGAACACCAAACCCCACGGGCAAAGCTACAGGCAAGAGAGCAGCACAGGAGCAGCAGCGTCAGGTTCGGCAGGGAGTTAGCAGCGGCAACCGAACCAACGGCTCGGTACTGGTGAGTGAAGGCAGTAAGAAATAAATCACCCATTTACACGCGTGTTTATAACTGGGATTTCTGCGCTCAGTGAAAGGAACAGATGCAACAGAGACAGCAAGGCGAGGTAAACACGGCCGCGGCAGGACGGCTGGCATTTCAGCAGATAAAAGCTTCAGAAACCAGAGCACCTGCCTGTGGCAAAGCTCACGTTTCTGGGGAGCAAGCGCAGCTCCTGCCCTCTGCGCCCTCCTTCACCGGCCCTCGCCCCCGCTATCCCTCAGAGCGTGACACAGGGTGACCTTTCAGGGAAAGCGACACCGATGGAGCTGGGTTATTTCAGTCCGCGGCCGCTCAGCTGACAGGAGATTTTACACCGCGAACAACAAAAACCCGTCCAACGCTAAGATTTTGCATCATATGGTAGGAAAATCTGATTTTAGTGCAGCAGTGCCGGGCGGGGGGGTAGAATAGAAAAATACACATTCATCTGCACAGCTCTGCAGTGCTGCGTGCTGATGAGTCACAGGCACCTGGCAGTCGCTCGGAGCCTGCCTCCCGGCACGCACACGGCGCTCTGCTTTGCCGCGATAAAGGCGGCGGCCCCGGGGTCGGTCTCCGGGTCAGCACAGAAGCTGCCCCGTGACATTTCTGTATCGTCACAGTTCTAACGCGCTCGGAGCGCTGCTCCTTAGCGGCACTGAGGGAAATCAGGCGTCACGCGCCTCCTTGTCTTTCACCGAGTTTTATCCTGGGAATCATCTGTGCTTGGCCCTGAGAGGTTACGCTTTGACCCAGGCCTAACCAGTAAAAGGAGAAAGGTAAAGGAGCCTAGAAGAGTTAAGAATCACAGCAGAGAGAGACCATGTAAGGGAGGAGGGGGGGTCACACAGGAGGGTTTGAATAGGATATGATTATAGCGGCTGGGATGCAGGCTGAAGTCTCATGGAAAAAGAAACGGGATATGTAGGAGGACACAGGGCCACAAGAAAGACGACAGCAAGGCAAGAGTCACGTTTGTGACTGCAGATCTCTGGGATGTCCTTGTGGTTCAGATTTTAAGGACAGAGGGGACCACCAGGACCATCAGGTCTCAACTGCTGGTAAACGTAAACTGCAGAATCTCACCCTGTGATTTCCGTCTGAGCTGCAGCATGTCTTGAGGAACAACACTGTTCCGGTTTAGACTGAACATCTACCTCACCTGCTGGCAACAGGTCCCACGGCTGAAATAACTCTCCCTTCAAGAGGTTTTTCTTTTTTTTTTTTCCCTCATCATTTCTAGTTAATTCTTTTTTCATACCTGCTGGGCTGAAGAGTTTTTTTCATATCAGGGAAAATCCTTCTATTCTTTTCTGTGGACTCTGAACACTTCCGCAGAACTTTGGCATGTTTTCTGCCTACTGTCCCCTTACAATCCCTCGACTGACCTCAGGATAAACCCCTTCTTTCAGTTTGGCCACTTAAAGCAAATCATAACTTTTCAGCAGTGACTTTCCCCTGTGCTCCATAACCCTGACCATGAGGCCATGAATGGCACGTCTTTACTGGGGGATGTCTTGAGTCCAAGCACTAGGGGCAACAGATAAGAACTACCGTGTTCAACACCGTGGCAGCTCTCTGTGGTTAACCCCAGGATCTACGGCAAGTTCACAGTGCGGTGACAGCGGCTGCACTGTCCTACAGCAATACAAAATCTTACCTAGGACTGTATTTTTTGAAGTGTGACACATAAAGTAAAATCTATCCTAAGCCAATGCCTTTTGTCCTGCACAGGAAGCGTCTCTACCATGGTACAGAAAATGAGGATAAGTGTCCATACCACAAAAAGCCAAGGGGCAGGCACGAGTTCGAGCACTGGAACGCACGGTGCAGCAGGTCAGATGGTAGCGGGAGACCATGCAACAGCGTTACGTCTGCCACGCTCAGCGGCGCTAGAATTTCGTAGGGCAAACTCAATGCAAACAAAGAGCACCAGATAATCTTTCCAGTAGAAGAATAATATTCCTTTGACTCTCTGCTGAGCAGCTAGTACCCTTCTCCCACCTGATCTCTCCGCATGGGATCATCCCTCCTCGGGGTACCCTGCCATGCTACTCTTCGACATGGACGCTGCTTCCCCTGACAGACAGCCACGCTCAGCCCCACACTAGGTTACATCTCTAACCCTGCTCACCTCTTTCAAACCCACAGGACCCCCCCCCCCCCCCTCACAAGCCGCTGCGGACACAGACGAATGCCACAACGTTTCACTGACAGCCACACGGTACCCTGGCAAACAAGCTGCTCAATAACAGGAGTGTTATCGAGCAACACTCAATAACAATACCAACCCCCAACTTGTGGTTTTAACATTAAGCAGCTGCCGTTCAGAAAAGCTGCTGCGTTTCGGAGGCCTGCCCTGTTCACGGTGACTGCAGCTGCCCCACGCGGATAATCTCTGGCTGGAGCAGAAAGCCGCGGCCTCAGCACTGTGGTGATCACCACTAACTGGTCTCCAGAGCAACAGTGATGCAAAAGGCCAGGCTGGAGATACAGCAGGGGGCTAGAGCAGCGGAAAGGACAACAGAGCAGATCATGTCATCAAACAGGGCAAGAAAACCTAGGGCATAAGGTGTTTTAATCCTCAGCAGCCCTGCTCCACTCTTCAACCTTCTCAGTGCTACCTTGAAAGCTGTAAAGATTAAAGCGTAGCATGTGCACAGCCAAGGCTGCCCTGCGGTAAAATATTCTCAGCCGAAATAAATGCAATATGAGCAGGCCACCTGCATCAGGGCCAGAGGGTCCACACTGACAATGACAGTATATTATCTACAGGAGGGACCTGCCTCTAAGTCAGCCATAACTGGAAAAAGTCTGACAAACCTGTATTTGACATGCTGCGTAACAGCTACTGCAGGTGTCTTTGTCATCCGCACATCTCCATAGGAAGAATGTTAAATTGAAATGGCCCCAAGTGAGCTGCTTGAGCACAGATCCATTTATACGACCAAACAAAATAGACAAAAATCAATTCTAAAACTCTTCTTCAGCCATGTAGCAGCCAGTATGCTGCCCTTGCAGTCAACACCGGACAGAGCTGCAATCTCAAATCATTGTGGTCATCGTGGCAGCCAGTGAGGAAAGCCTCTCCTAGGGACTCCTTATGCAAACTCTGAACCACAGTATCACATTCAAGAAAGATGCTATTTATACCATGCTTATACAGCTGTTTATATCCATACGATGGCATATCAGTAAATCAATGTTAGCAACGGACATCACAAAGCAATAATGCCAGCTATCAGTGATTTCCAAACACGCTTTCCCATTAAAAACACCTCCACATCCCCAACCCCAACAAGAAGCTTCAGAAATCTATGAGGGTGTATTCTTAGGGAAGGAAGTACAGGCAGCACGATATGCCAAGTCATAAAATGCTGATGTTTGACCTTTTTTCGGCTCATGTTTTGAAAACTGAGAGACAGGCTAAGAAGACAAGGGCTTAAGGCACAACATCCAGGTTTTGCTTTAAACCTCTTTGTCTTGGTATTTGTGTATCCCAGAGATCCTACACATCTCTGAAGTTAAGTGAAAGGAACTTGATGTTTATCAGAAGCTGCAGAATCAAAATCCTTAAGTGCAGCATAGTTATACTGTTTATGTCACTTCCAATTAAAATATTCAAACAGTTTAAAAAAATCAAAATCCAAGGTCTTCACTCCAGCCAATTTATCAACTACTCCACGTTCTACCATGCCTCAGTGGCACAACAGACTAGACTGCAGCTTAAACTTTAAGCCACCTCCCTCAATACACATTTTGTAAAGCTCTGGAAGATCCTGAAATAGCTCTTTGACCTACTAGCAGTTTGAGCAGTACAGCTTTGTTATAGACGCTGAGATCAGTACTGCAGGATGTTCTCTTGATAGATCAAAACACAGCTGGTCAGAAAAACACCTATGGAATTTGATAATGCAGCCTTTCTCCTCTTCTATACAGGAGCAGAGCCTCAGAACTGGCAAACCCATATTAAAACAAGCAATCATGCTGAGTTAAACAACTGCCCTACAAGTGAGATCTCATCCTTGGAGAGAGAGTCTATTGCAGCCTGTTTTATCACATACCACATCAGTTTTACTTCCAAGTTGCTGACATGCTGCAATAGTGCCCACCAAGCTTGGACAGAGTTTGGCATTTCTAGAATAGGATGCTTGTCTTCCTTCTAGTCCCTAACTGCAAAATTGAACTGTCAGAGCTTAGGACTTGCCAGTTACCTCATTTGCATTTCAGTACAAGTGAGGGGATGCACCGCTTAATTTCAATCCGTGTCACAACGATCTGAAGCAGAAACTCACTTCTGGGCAAGAAGAGCCCAGAAGAGAAACGACAGGCAGGCAGGAGAAGGGAGAGTTAGAGGCTTCGAGGAACTCACCGATGTGATAAACCTGTACAAAGGCTGTCGCTTCTCTGTGTATTTCACTGTGATGGGGCTCAAATCATAACGGAACCAGATAGCTGGGATAATGCGGCCAGTGTGACTGTAGGCAACATACTCCTAGGAAAGAAAGTAGGGAAAAAATGGCAGAAAGTGTGAGCAATCTCATTCCAGACAGAACACCTGCAATAGCTCTGCTTCTATGAATCTGCTCCTTACTCTATGCTACCGTACACAAGAGAGTGATCATCGGTAACGATCAGACTGACAGAAGCAAAAAGTTAGTTCCTGCATGACTTTTTTTCCTCCCATACCCTTATCAAATAGAAGAATAGGACCATCGCAGTCCGAGAATGATATCGCCTGGAACAACGAGTGATGCTGCTTACTCTTACCATCATCCAAAGTCACAAGTCTAAATAGACAGACTGTCACTGATTTCTGCTTTATTCGACTACAAGGACTTTGTGAGTGGTTGCAGGTGAATCTATATACTGTCAGCATGTAAATCACACACCGAGGAATTCATCAAAACAAACAGAATTTAGTTTGCAAGAACCTGAAAACCTCTGGCTTGTCCATGCACTTCGAATAGGAAGTAGCATTTCCCGTGTGTGAGGCCCCCCTTCACACTGGGACTAGCCATGCAAATACTTTGCCCACCTAGCGTGAATAATGTACAGCCATATTTAAACCAAGTTTAAAATTCATGCTGAAAGCTAGAAGGAGACTGCATACAGAAAAGTATCGCCAAAGGTTATTCCACACTGGTTCAGGAGAGACATTTTTAGATTCTCTGCAATAATCTCCTTTAACCCATTTCCTTAATAACAGATACAGCGCAATGCATCAGCCCACAGGACAACAACCCAAAAAGAGATACTGCACAATGCCAGAGTAAAATACACACTAACATCAACTTTAAAAGTCACATCTTTCTGGAGTAATATTTTGCCTGTGCTCTCAATAGAAATATATGTCAAATTTCAAGGATCAAAACGTTTATCTTGACAGATGGAAGAAATATCAAAGAAGAAAAGCACGCTGGGGACTCAGCAAACCAACAAGAGCCACCAGCTCTTGCATGGCACGCACTGCCTCTTTACTCAGCTGCTCTTCCCCTCTTTTATCCCTATGACAAACCTGCCAACTCAGGTGACCTCTTTCATTTTAGTTCTCCTTCAGGTAGAGGCAAGGGCAACCTCATCTACTTTGGAAAGATGAAGAAAGGACAAGCAATAGGACAAACATGGGCACGATACAACCAAGATAACTTTAATCTCCGTGTGCTCAGAGGGAGCCAGTGAAACAGCATCAGTCTCCTTCATTTATTCCATACATATCCCAATCTTCCCTCTTTTTAAGGGTATTTTTCCCCTCCTCTCCTCTTCTCCCCATGGCTGACAAAAGCAGCAGAACGGGGCTGCAACGCCTAGTCAGAATGCCTTCGGGGCTCTCACTGCAGAAGTCTTGCAGTATATCTGGGGACAGTGGCTATCTGGGGAAGGGAGGAAACAGAGAATCTAGAAGATGAAGGGGGAGAAGACTCAGGCAGCCTGCACTCAAGACTCTCTTCATCTCTTCACACCAGGCAATCTGTGCCAGACTATACCAATGGCTTCCAACTTCTGTTTCTGACTTCTGCATTAATCAGTACTGCAGTTAAGGACCAAAGCAGCAATAAGAAAATTTTTATTTTTAATGAGAAGAAAATGCAGAGGCAGCACTGTTTCCCTGCGCTTCAGTTTTGATAAACCTGACCTCATTTTTAACTTCCTCTCTCCTTTTCCCCACGAGCAGTTCTGCTCTAATGAGTCAGTCTTGGCTGAATGCCCCAATTTGCAACCGTGCTCACAGAAGTGTCAAAAGCAGCTCCTGCTGCCTATTTTCCAAATTACTTTCAGAACTTGTGTCGCAAGAGACTTATCAGAACAGCAGTTGTGACATTAAGCAGAACAAATACATTGTAATCTGAATAGAGACAGCCATCCAAATCATTGGGACACACTGTACAAGTAAGCCCAAAAGTCACTAGATAGGAACACTAATCTGAGAACTAGTCCATGAGAGCACACGCTTGCTTCTCAGTTACGGCAAACTAGCAGAGGTATTACATATTATAAACAGACTCTGGGCTTTCAACTAGAACCTGAGTTGCAAATTATTTTAAATTGAAATAGGGTTTTTACCTTAAAAAGTAAATATATATATTTTTAAGTTCAATTGCATTGTTAAAATACAAATATCTATACAATGTATATTAATTTAATAATGATAAAGTTACAATAACTATCAAAATTCACTGTCATGAACTAGGTAATGTGAAACAGTACGTATTTGCTGCTGCATGTTCAATGGCAGTTAAGTGGTTTAGGATCTGAAACCAACACTCGTAAAAAAAATGCTAAAAACTTCAAACAACAATATCTTTTTCTGTTAATTCAGAGAGTGTTATCACCTTCATTTCTATTTATTTAGCTAGCTCAGCTTGGTACTGGCTAATTTCTGAGTTAAATTTTTTTTTTTTTTCCTGAGAATTGGAAAAAAAAGCCCAAGAAATTCTACCTGCTCTTCTGGCACACATTTAAAATGGTGGAGTGAGAAGATGAGATCTACTTGTTCTAAAATGCTGAAGAACATAAAAAATCACAAACCACTGTTCTCCCCAGTCAGCTCAACCAGCTTCCTTAATTTCATGAGCTAACGGCAATGTGATATATTTTAATAACTTACTTTTTTCCTCTTACACACCCATCACACTTAAGACTGTTTCATTCATAAAACCATGCAAGAGTATTTTTTGTACATTTAGTTGGATTCTAACTTCCATCCAAATGCACTTTGACACAAATCACAAGAGCTCCTGCATCACGTGAAAATCTTTTGTACTATTTATAGAGATCTAGATCAAGCAAACTGACCAAAAAAAAAAAGCCAGGAGTAAAAATATTCATTCTCTAGAAGAAAAACAATGCCACCACTGGCTCTAAAAAGCCCTCACAACCCCAACCCTAGTTGAGGCAGCACTAGGAGCAGCAGGAAGGGCTCTGAAGGGCTTCAGTTCCTCCTCCTCCCAGCAGAGGCTACTGCTCACCTACAAACGCGCACATATGGCTGCGGAGCACAGGAGCTGGACGGAGGAGGAATGGTGACTGAAGAGCCTCCATGCATCCACTGGGCTGCAATGAGGAGCTTCTCTGAGAACCACCTACTTCTTTACCTTGTTTGCTACAGTATACTGGTATGAGTATCGCTGCTTGCCGCTCATGTCTTCGTACACTGTAGGGACTATCTTCAATATGTAATCGTGAGATGCAAGGGCTGTGGTCAGAAAAGAAAAGAAAAGGAAAACATCAGCTGCAATTTAGAGAAAGGAATAGCAGCCTATATGTTTCAGAGTAAACGTGCAAAATCAACTAAAAAAGTAAGCTCACAGGAGAGGTACTTTCTCCTTCCTTACCTCAGGTTCTATGACGCAGTGAATATTTTGCACCCTATTTTTATGGCATTTATATAAACTTTACAAGGTGCTCAGATACCACCAGAACCTCCCTATCCTTCTAAGGCTTCTGTAGCACCAGGACACAAAGAGATGAGTTTGGGTCATTTCAAATTTCCTAACTGCTTGCATCTATAAATGATTAGCCCCATCAACACTACAAAAAGCTGCACTGATTAAATCAAGCACTAGCTAAAGTTAGAGCTGCAGCTCACTGTGCCACTTTTGACAGAAAGAGCTGAAGTACAACACTGCATAGTCCCATCTCCTCTACGCGCTGTTTTGTTCCTTTCTCTTCTTCTTACTTCTCTCACAGCTGCTTAATAATTACTTATTTTGCATGATTAAAATGGCCCGGGAATTTTTGCGTCTATTGAAACAGTTCTACAACAGTTCTCTGCATGACCCAATGACGTTTGACTCTTGCGGGGGCGGGGGGGGAACTATCTAGCTTCAGGAGTCACCATGAATATTCTAGTCCAAGAAATGGACGAGATGTATATCCCTGAGGAACCTGAAGATTTGAAGGAGAAAACCTTAGCTAAATTGTAGTATGCACCGGAAGTTTTTTTTTTTTTGTGTGTGTAGCTGGTTGTGGAGAACTGCAGTGAAAAAGTCTATCCTTCCAGCTATTGGGTAGGAGCTAAGGTAACAGCTAACTTACAACGTGAGAAAAAGGAAAAGCTCTTGTGGTGGTGGCAGCACAAAGGGAAGCTGTAAGGGTAGGATATGGATAAAAAAAACTCAGTAATTCTATACCGGGGGTCATAAAAGAGTTGGAGACAATGTCCTGGTGGCAGAAAGGCTGCAAAGGATATTTTAAACTAAGATTTCTCTTCAGTAGTAGAGAGAATGGAAACGTCAGTCAGCAGTATCTGGATCTCTTTGATTAACGGGGAAAATTAAAGTCTTCTGGATACGCCAGCGTTGCATTAATAGCATTGTTTTCCTTACTGCAGTGAATGGCTAAAACCTTTAATCACGTACGATTTGAGCTGAGTTTGTCTGCTCCCTCCAAGGCATTGAATGCTCCGTGGATGTTCTGGACCTGGAAAGCATAAAAAGTACGTGAACAAGCTACGTTCTGACTCCTGTAATCTTGACCTTTGCTTCCCTATTCTCTCCTGTAACAAAGAGTTCAGCCTGATTCAGCCTTTCCAAAAACAAAGCCTCAACCCAGCAAAAGACAACTTGAAATATCTTTCAGTAACCATCACCACCGGGGTTGATTCCAAGTGAAAAAGTTGATTTCACAATGTCTTACAAGATGAAACTTAAAAGCCACTCCAAAGCTAAAGGACTTGCAGTTGAAAGATGCCAGTTAGGAAATATATCACAATGAAATTTCACAAGAGCTTTGCATAGTTAACTGTGAAAATTCATTATCAGGCTCAAAGGGAAATAAACGGGAATCAGATTCAGGTTAAAACTCAAAGTCCTGAGCTGCAAAGGCAGCTTATGCCACAGCTGCTGCATTTCTACTTTATCTCATTAGCCCATCCCTTACACCATGCACCCTACTTCCCTGAAGATGGAAAGGACACATGCCAACTCTGCCATTCATTCAGCTTTCCCTGCAGCCGGCCCCAGGCATGCAAGCATCTGTTTGCCCAGATCAATAGGATTTCCATCCCGTACCTTACACATACTATTTTCTTCTGGAGGCTAGTGTCCACCAACAGAATAATCAATTCGTGAATCCTATAGACAGGGGAAACCCCACATCAACAGCTGTAGGTTAGGGGTTGCACATAACATACAGAAAGGACAAATAACTCAACAACTTAGAAATTCCTGACCTTAAGCCAGACCACAGGGAAGTAGCGTTCTGCTTGGGTGTGTTCTGACTTTCACCTCACTAACAGGGCGCTGCACAAATAACTACTTCCCAGACCCTCTCAACAGCTGACAGCACGTGGATGTATTTGTCTCATCCTAATGGCTGTTTCCCCATTCAGAATGCCACAGAGCAGATGATGGTCTGGAAGAAAAAGAAACTGAACCAGTTTCTCACCTGAGAAAGGAAATTCTAGAGAGACAAAAGCAGCAGCAAGTTCAGCTAGCAAGGGGCTGGTAACGAGCACAGAGCAAAAGCAAGAGCTGAGCTTTCTGCAGTGCGTTTCACGCTGCTGGCATTCTACAGAATAGCAAACATACTAGAACTATACGTGCAGACTGCACGTATTCTTTACTCAGCTATCATACACACATAGATGAGGACAGTGAAAAGCTAACGAAGAAAGAGAAGCAATTGGACTGGGCTATAGTATTATGCTCCGTTCTGGATACGGCTCAGAAGTAAGCCCCTTATCACGCATCTGGACCAGAGATTCTAAGGTCCGTTCAAAATATGCTATTGTAAACATTTAGTGGGCTACTCGGCAAACAACTGATGTATCTATCCTGTGAGGTACTCTTGCTCTTTGCTCTCCAGCATCCATGCTCTTACCTGGGCAACTGCAACCTTTTTCAGACTCTACTTATACATAGAAATAATCTCTTTATCTCTCTACCCAACCAGGCTGCAAAGCAGTTGCAAGTTACAGGGCTTCCACATAGACAAAGCTACCACAAATCACCACCACTGCCTGTTTCTATGTCATCAGATCCTTTGGTACATCTCCCTCTCTGGTCTCTGCAACATGGATGGCATTTGCAACTCCCAGCTTGATATTTTACCCCGATTTTCCTTGTGGACTGTTCTGGACTCCCATCACAATACTTGCTGTCCCAAGACTGCTAATTATTCTCTGCTCTACAAACTGCACAGGTATGTTCCTGAGGGAACATACTCGCACCTTGTTAAGTATCTGGAGGGACTTCAACAGGCAATATGATTTTGGCCACAGTGACAAAATTACTTTGCAACAGAGACCTTCAGGAAACTTGTTTAGCCAGATACTCTCATGATTGTACTGCTGTACAAAGGCCAAATCTAGCGCTTCAGTAGTAGTACTCAAACCAAAAGGGGCCTAATCAGACACCTAGTAGAGTCAACGCTTTATGCTCCTGCTACACGGACCTCAGAAAGATGCTTGCCAGGACAGGACCTTGAGCACCCCTAGGCTTTAACCGCTACGAAATCATACGAAAGCATATAACTGAAAAGCCTGCTGGACTGATCAGGCAGAGTCCAAAAGCAGGCTAAAATAACTTCCAGCCGTGCAACTACGAAGGGAACACAAGTCTTCTCACAAAGATTTAAACTAAGATTATTCAACACGAAGAGCTGGGATATTCAATGAGACCTCTCAAGAGAATTCTACTATAAAAAAAAAATTTAATGTCCTGCTTTCTCCATCTGTTTCTTCAGTGGGTAACCTGACACCCAACAACCCGATTCAGGTTTGAATTTTGGCCTTGTCTGCATTAGGGAAGATCTACAAAAAGTTTGCCAGTAGCATGAAGGAACGACTATTGAAGAACTGAAGCTTAAACAAGGCCAGATGAGATTTAAAACTCTGTTTCAAATGGACTGTTTTTTTCTGGAGACAACAGCACATACCTTAGTGGATCATTCCGGTAGAGCTAGTAACAACCTACAAAGAACAGAGTCCTAGCACATGACACAAGTAAACGAGACAAGCTCCTAAACCCATTTATGAAATATGAGCATATATTACATAAAGCAGGTGGAGCCAAAACAAAAGATTCAAAAGTATATCTAAATAGCTTTAAAGCTCTTCATAACCGTGGGCTCTCTCCACTGCTTGCAAAGTCTTGATAGCACCTGTTTAGTGAACCTATCCTCCTTTAACTTGTGCTGTTGAGCTCATGACTTGCCTACTGGATCAGCAGCTATATTCTACTCTTGCTCCACTCGTGTGTGTGCAGATGAGTCGTTACTTTGGCCTTTTAAAGTACTAACCGAACCTGCCCAAATCATGAGTCAACTACATGTGTACTAGATAGGTTTCTCACCACCAGCATGGAAGACACCTGCTATCAGAAACTTGCTCCTTTGCCCTGAACTGCCCAGGCTTCTCATCTCACTCACGCTGATTTGCATTTCAGCTACATTACTCAGACTCCATGATAAAATAATGGGAACACTACCCTATAGCACTAATTTCCCATGCAAACTACAGAACTCCCTATTACCTCTTACCTAATATTTTTCATAATCTCAGTGTGCCTTACAGACATTAAGCCAAGCTTATTTATATGCTAATATTTCAGCGGTTCCCACACAAGGTATTTCCTAAAAGAAGCCGGGAGCAGAGTCAGAAGACTACAAAGCAATGCTTAGACTTGTTAGCATGAGAAAAGGTTTTTGGAAGTGGGTATACAAGAAGCAGACTAATGAGACACCTGCACGGAGGAACAAAGATTACAGAGACTATGGGTAAGTAATGTTTAGGGAGAGTCGCAAACTGGGTGTGCACATATGTGACTCCCACCTGTGATGCCAGTTCCTTGGAAGTAGGCTAAAGAAGTGCTGTAATCTGTCCTTATTGAGAAATCAGGAATTATTACATAACTTGCAACACAAGGTGTAACTCCATCCACAGGGTAAGTGCACATGTTCAACTTCTTCCCAGCAGGGAACTGGCAATTCTAAGTCTAACCTATGTCTCACAGAACAAATGTGGCTAATAGATGTCTGCTTTAGAAGTACGGTGAAGTGAATTATAAAGAACTGGTGCCATGGTGAAGACAGTACAGAACACATTTTCCCTTAGTATAATTACTGCTCCTCTGCATAGACGCTCACTTAAGATGTTTTCAAAATTAACACTAGAAGCAGTACTGTATGGTATTTTACAGACCCAGGAATCTTCATATCTGTTCCCAGCATGAACACAGACACTTAGTTTTCCAAAAGCACTTTCCATTTCAGATGAAAACAGCAAAGTTAGTCTATGACTGAACGCTGTTCCTTCTTGACGTGGTGGCACGTGAAGAGTCTGTGAACTCTTCCAGACTGAGAGCACGCTGCATAAATGCAAAGGACGGATTTGCTTATCCGGGCAGTTCTTTCCTATGTCCTCCCACACTGTACACAGCCCTTCCATAACACTGATCAAAGAATCTAATATCAAAGTTGCTCCTGTTGCATTTGGTCCCCTACAGAGAGAGAACTTTCAGGGAAGAGCACTCACCTGCAACTTGTCCCCAAAGGAGAGCTTGTGGATGATGTGAGTCATGTCAGGATTCTGAGGCTGCGCAGTGGCACTGTGTGTTGACACGTGAAAGTTACCAGGGACCTAAAATTAGCCAAGACAAGACAGACAGGATTTCACGTTTTATCCCTCAAGGTATCGCCAGGCTCTGTGATATGAAGCAGATATGCCCAGATCCATGCAGCCTGACACGCTGTATCTACGTAGCAGGGGGTAACCCCTGGCACATCAGTGAAAGGCTCTGAAATACCTTCCCGCGCTTGACCAACATCACCATACCACACACAGCGTTCAGAGCAGTTACATCCCAGGCATCCTCATGTTGCCACTCCTGCTGACTATGGGGTGATGAGTGGACCACTCCCAGCCTCAGGGATTCCTAACACTTAAGGCTATGTCTTTCATCCCTGTTAAATAAGATTCATGCCTTTGGCAGTCAACAGTTGCTTAATGTTTTCCTCCCACACCTCACACTTGTAAATGGACCCACTGTTGCAGAACAACCTAAGAAAGCTGTGGATACTTTCTTATTTTAGCATTGGTCATGAGCAACCTTACATTTGACAAGACTGTGGGTAAGGAAGAGACTTTTTTTTTTTTTTTTT